GGGCCCTCGAACCCGGCTCTACAAAGGCACACCTGGGGGCGCTTGCAGATCCCACCATTGGCGCAGCGGGGGGAACACCGAGCTACATGGGAAAGAAATCAGAGAGGGTCACTGACCAGAAAAATGAAAGACATTTGCAGAAAACACATGTGAACAATCCATTTAAAGCTCTCTAAAAAGAGGGTTCTACTTTACTCTACTAAACATTGTAAGAGTAGGAGTGCCAGAAGGCAAAGAACTGCAGTTTTGAAACACACAGAAAAGCATGTTTTTAATCTGGTATCAAGTTCCCTCATAATCTTCTCTTTTCAAGACTATAAATCCATCTAGTTGCTTTTCTCAGGACTATTCCAGCGCAGCAGTATCTTCTTTGAAGAGTGGTTAACAAACTTGGACACAATATTCTAAACGAGGCCTTACTAGTGCAATAGACAACTTTAACGTCCAATTTAGTACTTGAGCACTTGTATTTTAAGCCACTGTTTTAAGGTGGTGTGGGAACTGGAGTGGTATTCCTGTCATGTCTTAAAGAGTAGGAAGTTATATCACTCTGCAAGTCACAGCTGGCAGGCTACTGGAGCTCAGCAGGTGTGAGCCTGGTCAGTACCTGGATGAGAGTCCTCCTGGGAAAGCTGAGGCTGCTTCTGGAAGAGGTGTTAGAGAGACTGGTAGGAGGCGCTCACCCTGTGGTCAGTGTTGTATCTAATGCCCCAGTATAGTGATGGGGACACTATACTACAAAAAAGGCACTGTCCTTCACATGAGACACAAAACTGAAGTCCTGACTTGTCATTATCTTGACCCTTGATCAATCATAGCCTCCTAATAATCCCCATCTCTGAACTGGCTCCATCACTGTTCTCCTCCAACTGAGAGCTGGTGTGTGGGGAGAGTACTGGCGCACTATGGCTGCTGTCACATCCCCCAGGTGGGGCTGCACACTGGTGTTGGTGGAGGAGAGTCCCCATTACCTGTAAAGCGCTATGAGTGAAGTGTCCAGAAAAGCGCTATACAAGAGTATTTTATAGGAATTCTCTGCCAAGCCACTCAATCATGGGTGAGAAACTCTCAAGACACAGGAATGGAACATCATGTGTGTCCCAGTCTGGGATACAACAACACAGTAGGTTCCCGCACACTTCCACTTCAGTTTTCCAAGGAGTTTTCCAGCCTCGCTCTTGCCCGCATGAATTCTGTGTCTTTGTGCGCTTGTGGAGTGCCAGGAGGTCAATGCCAACAGCCCAGTTGGCGCAGACAACAGTGCGTTACCCACACCAGAGGATTACCATCAATCTTTGGACCCCCCGGGGTGAATATAAACAGCG